TCTTTGCCAGGAAGAAAAAAAACACCCCAAAGGCTGAGAATGAAACCTTCACCATCTGAGAGCCGTCTTTCTGATGGAAAGACTTGAGCATCTGCCCAGAGGGTGACCTTCACTTGTTCCTGGAGAATCATTTAAGTGCCCAGGAAAATACCTCCTCCCTTAGAACTCACCCTGAATTAGGTACACTTGTAATGGGAAAAGCCCCTACCTAGTACCCATGAGTGAGAAGCAGCCCTCTTGTATTGTATTGTATTGCACATCCTAGGGTTTCCCTCAAACCCCAGGATGATCTCATTACCCAGAGGTCCACAGTTTCCTGGGCCCTTTGGAACACTTCCTCTCACCCAGATTACACTTCTTACTTCAGTGTTTCCTCTGTGTCATAGGGTGAAGGAGAGAGAGTGATTTTTTTTAAGACTTTATTTAGAGAGAGAAAGAGCATGAGCAGGGGGAGGGAGCAGAAGGCAGAGGGAGAAACAGACTCTCCACTGAGCAGGGAGCCCAATGTGGGGCTGGATCCCAGGACCCTCTGATCATGACCTGAGCTGAAGTCAGAGGCTTAACCCACTGAGTCCCCAGGGGCCCCAGAGAAGGAATGATTTTGCAGCAGTCTTAGCAGGCAGAGAGAAGCTAAAACTCGAGATACCAGGGATAGGGCCCAGGGGTCTGCAGCCTGAGCCTCAGACCAGATGGTAGGAGGTGGGTAACGGGGCCTGGGGCAGAGGAGGCAACAGTGCGTAAGGAGGTGAGAGAAGTAGCCTTGAGGACGTGGTGGGGGCAGGGAGGGGCAGGAGGAGAGCATGGGGATGGGGGTTCAGATGTCAGCACAGAAGATGGGCCATGGAGGGAGCAGATTGCCGAGGGCCAACAGGGCCTGGACAGCCACTAGGGCTGGGTGTCTTGATAGTGCAAGAGGTCCAGGGAGTCAGTGCTGCCGCCAAGGAGCCATTAGGTGAGAAGGGAATTCCTAGGCTGGGCCAACAGGGCACATGGAAGGCCCCAAAGCTGGGCTGCTAGGGACTGCAGAGGTGGGAGGCAGCAGAACCTGGTGCCTGGGGGCCAGAGAGCCCAGACAGTTACAGCCACTTAGCCCAGAGCGCTCTCTGGACTCTGCCTGGGTAGCCCCAACACCCCACCTCTGAGCCAGCAGGTCAGGATTTAAAGCTTTGGCTTCCTTTCCCTCTGAACCAAAGCATCTCTGCAGGCAAGTCCTACCCTGGCAGGCTCCAGCTCCTTCACACCTCTGATGCAGTGCCTTGGCCACTGGGGCTCTCCCCCAGCCCCGGGGCTCCAGCTGCTCCAGAAGATGGCAGGCTGGCTTTCTGGAGGCTCTGGGAACTTGGATTCCTACTTGTAGGTGCTGCTGGCAGAATTCAGTTCCACGTGGTTGTAGGACTGAGGTTTGTTTCTAAGCTTCCAGGGTGCTTTCTGGTTGTGATGAGGTGATCTGTAAAGTCAAACAATTTTTTCAAAGGGCTCTTTGTGGGACTACTCGATACTCTGATCTTGCTGAGCCAGGACTGAAGATGCTGGGCTCTCAGAGGTGTGGTGCTCAACTTAGCTCTTAGCTATTATCTCAGAACCAGCAATGGGACATCAAAGGGCCTGATACAGCCCTGTCTGACTTTCCTGTTTCTTTCTTCCTACAGCTGGAAAGGTTCTCTATTGTTAAAGACTCGTGTGAGGGGCCCCTGGGTGGTTCAGTCGGTTAAGCATCTGACTTCAGCTCAGGTCATGATGCCAGGGTCCTGGGATCGAGCCCCCATCAGGCTCCTTGCTCAGCAGGGAACCTCTTCTCCCTCTCCCACTGCCTGTTGCTCCCCCTGCTTGTGCTTTCTCTGTCAAATAAATAAAATCTTTTAAAAAATAAAAATAATAAAGACTCGTGTGATTAGATTGAGCCCTCCGGGTAAGTCTCATCACGAAGTGCATTATTCATGCAAAGCCCCCCTTGCCATCTACAGGAACATTCACAGGTCCTGGGGATTAGGGCACCAACATCTTTGGGAGCAGTGATCCCATTTACCACAGTCTGCTGTCTGGTCCTCAGATTCCTATCTGTCCTGCTTGGAAAATATATTCCACCCATTCCAAGATCACAAAAATGTCTCATTCCATTACAGTAGCCACTCAATACCCAAATCTCATCAGCCCCCAAATCCCAAATCTCATCACCTTAACTGTCTAAATCAGATATGGCCAAGGCTCTGGATATAGTCCACCCCGCACACACCCTGTCTGTAGATCTGTAAAGCTAGAAGACGAGGTATTTGCTCCCAAAATAAGACAGTGGAAGAGAAATGGGATAATAGTTACATACATTGTTTCAAGGGGGGGAAATGAAAAAGTAGCCACAAGTTCCAAGAAATTCTGAAATCAAGCTTAGCAAACTACATGAGGTATCAAAGCCTGGGAAAACCTTCTATGGTTCAGGACTCTGGCCTCAGGTCCCCATCCTGTGTTCTACTGTCCTCCACCTCCTTTTCTATGACAGGTAACAAAGGTTTGCAGGTTAGTAATTTTCTTAGCTGGTTTCATGTGTGCAGAATATTGAAGGCCCCAATTTCATATTCTGTCCCTTTAAGATCCAAGGTGTTTCTCGTAGAAAGGAATTTTCAAGAACTTTGTGGTTCCTCTGTATATACCAGAGATTCACTCCATTAGACAAGAGGCTGGTTCACACATTTCCCCCCCACCCGGCAACCTTCCCCGGATAATCCTCTATCAATTTTTTGGCTTTTGCTGAGATGGCCAAGGGATACCTTTAAATTTCCTAGATGGTCTCTGGTTGTACTGAGGAGACCTGCATAGTCACAATCTCTTCAAAGAAATTTTACATGACTAAATACCCTTGTCTTTGGATCTTGCTGAGATACTACAAAAAGGCTGTATAGCTACATTTCAATGTCTTCTGCAATTAAGATGGAATAAGAATTTCCCAAATCATAAATCTCGGGGTCCTTTCTGTGTAATAGTTCTTCCCTACGTTTCTCTTCCCTATCACATTTTACTGTAAACAATTAAGCAAGGCTACACTTTCAATGCTTTGTTTAGAAATTTCCTCAGCTGAGTGTCCACATAAGGACTTGTACATTAATATTTGCAATAGCTGTTTTTAAAGATTTTTATTTATTCGACAGACAGAGATCATTAGTAGGCAGAGAGGCAGGCAGGGGGGGGGGGGAAGCAGGCTCCCCGCTGAGCAAAGAGCTGGATGTGGGACTCGATCCCAGGACTCTGGGATCATGACCCGAGCCAAAGTCAGAGGCTTTAACCCACTGAGCCACCCAGGCGCCCCTGCAGTAGCTGTTTTTAAAACTTAGAATTTGCAAGGTGGGGGGCTGTCAATTAAGATAAAGGGCAGCTCTTTCTGCCCACGGGTCCTGTCCCCAAGCTTCAATAAAACCGGCATTTTGGGGCGCCTGGGTGGCTCAGTGGGTTAAAGCCTCTGCCTTCGGCTCAGGTCATGATCTCAGGGTCCTGGGATCGAGGCCCGCATCAGGCTCTCTGCTCAGCGGGGAGCCTGCTTTCTCCTCTCTCTCTCTATGCCTGCCTCTCTGCATACTTGTGATCTCTCTCTCTCTCTGTTTCAAATAAATAAAATCTTAAAAAAAAACAAACCAAAAACCGGCATTTTGTACACACACACAAAGAAGATAAAGGGATATAACCGCAGGATATCCAGAGGATTACTCAGTAATGAAGAGAATGAACTATTTACACAACGATTCTCCAAATAATGTTGCCTGAAAGACAGTGGACCCTAATAAACTTCCAAGTTTCCACTTACATAAGAGTCTAGAAAAGACTAATTCATCTATGCTGAAAATGAATCAGTGGTTGTTCACGGAAGGGATAGGAAGTATCAAGAAAGGCACTGAGAGGGATTTAAGAAGGGCCATGAGGTAACTCTGGAAGTGGATATGCCCAATACAACGGCTGGGTGATTTCTTACGTTTATACAGATATTAAGGATTACAAATTGCACACTTCATATATGTGCAGTATATGGCATGTTGACTACCCCTCAGTGAAACTGTAAAAACTGATTCCACTGCAACACCTGGGTCTCCCGCTTCTACTGGAAAACCAGATTAAGCATCAATACAGTGACTCTACCTTCTTTCTCCAAATGCCCTGTAAAGAGAACCTCTTCCCCAGCAACAAGAAAAACTGGCAAGCACTGAAGGCTGTTTCCAAGTGAGTCACCAGAAGCTCTGGTTGGTCACAAAATCTACATCCTTGGACCACAATGTCTATCCAAGAGTTCTTTGCCCATGTAGCAAAGACACTAGGTATAGAGCCCATGGAGGTACAGAAATCTATAAACTTGACATTCTTTGCTCTGCCACTGACCCTGGTGCTACAGTGACATGGCCCTGGAGATGCTAAGAATTCCCAGGCAGCCCCATCTCATACAGCCACAGTGCCAGGAGTGTTTGTGGCTGTTTTTTTTTTTTTTTTTTTTTTTAATGGGCACATCCACTCTCATTTGCTGCAGTCTCCCCAAACCCAATTTTTCACACCCAGTGTTTCTATATTGGTTTTCCTTCCTTCCCGGGATGGCAAGTCTTGCAGCCAACTTGGGTACCAGATCAGATTCTGGCCTTCAGGGCATATGGCGCTTGGCAGGTTCGCAGAAAAGCTTCCCCTCAACAGTGCTGTGGAATATGGCACATATCCTGGAAATAAGTCATTCACTGCATGCTGCTGCCAAACATATTGAAGGTTGTCACAACCTTCCTCCATACCACCCTCAGGGTGATGTCTGGGCCCTCAAATAACTCTGAAATCCAGCCAAAATCAGGCCCTGAACTCTCGCCTAAGCAGCTTTTGTCAGCAACACCAGAACTGGACTGAGAAAGGTTCTCTGCCAACCTGCTCTTCCATTTGAGGCACAGGAAACTGGAGGATCCCCCCCGCTCCACTGTTTATCTCTTCAGTTTGGCAGGGCCTAAGTGTTTTCAAACCATTCCAAACAGTAAAAACAATGTCCAAGATTAACGATGGCTTAAATAATAACAAGGTCTTTATTATCACAGAAACCAGAGCAACATAAGACAAGTAGTTCTCCGGGATGGGTGACTTGGAGACTGGAAAATCTGTCACAAGTACCACATGAGACCAACAGTGTCCAGGAAGAAAGTAAACCTTTTCTGTAAGCCAGAACACAGCTCAGATCCTCTTGGCTAAGGATGTACAGTAAGGTCCACACCTTTAATCAATCAGTGGGGGAAGCAATGAGAAATCCTATTTAATTCAGGATTCTACCTTCCCTGAGGACATTATGGTAAGTAAGCTGATAGAGCTGAGATGGTGTTAGCCACAGGCATTGAGTGACAAATCTGGCAAGGACCTGTCTCAAAGTGCAACGCAACCCGCGAGAGCTTCCCTGTACCTAGCATTCATAACCCATCTCAGATGTTAACGCTGATATAGGAGGAACAACACCTCACTGATGTCCTCCTCTCAAAGGGTCCTCGCAGAGCTCCTCTCCCTATGAGTCCCGCTGCGTTGAAAGTCTGCCTACAGCCTCCCTGCAGTATGAACTTTCTGGTGCCGAATGAGGTGGGAGCTTAAACTATAGGCTTTCCCACATTCATTGCACTCATATGGCCTTTCTCCAGTGTGAACTTTTTGGTGCCTAACAAGGTGAGATGTTCTGATGAAATCTTTTCCACACTTGCTGCACACAAACGGCCTTTCCCCTGTGTGAACTCTCTGGTGTGCAATAAAGTCAGAGCTTCGACTAAAGAATTTCCCACATTCGACGCACTCAAAAGGCCTTGCCTCTGTGTGAATTCTCTGGTGTTTAATGAGGGTGTATTTGTGGCCAAAGGATTTCCCACAATCACTGCAAACATAAGGATTTTCTCCAGTATGGATACTCTCATGCTGAACAAGTGTGGATTTGTGTCTGAAGACTTTCCCACAATTGTTGCACTTATAAGGCCTTGCTCCATTGTGAACTCTCTGGTGTACAATTAGGTTGGAGTGATGGCTAAAGTATTTTCCACATTCACTACACTTGTAAGGCATTTCTCCAGTGTGGATTCTTTTGTGCTGAGTAAGGTTGTCTTTGCGACTAAAGGCTTTCCCACATTCTTTGCACTCATAAGGCCTTTCTCCAGTATGGATTCTCTGGTGCTGGATAAGGGTGGCTTTGCGGCTGAAGGCTTTCCCACATTCACTGCACTCGTAAGGCCTTTCTCCAGTATGGATTCTCTGGTGCTGGACGAGTGTGTCTTTGCGGTTGAAGGCCTTCCCACATTCGCTGCACCTGTAATGCGTATGTCTACTGTGAGAGGCCCCCCCGCTCTTGGTGCTCCTTGTCTTCTTCTTGCTGTGGATGGCCTTTTGCTGGTGACTGCCCAAACTGGCCTGGAAGTTCTCCTCCTCACATCGTAAAGGCTTTTCTGACAGGTGAGGTTCTTCACAAACTCTACAGTTCTTCATAAATGAGGTCTTGCCTTTGTCTCTTCTTAAGGGCTTCTCTACATTGTACTGCTTCTGGTGCTGAAGGAAGTCTGCACTGAACCAGAACTGTCTCCCACATGCCTCACATGTGTAAGGTTTCAGTCCCTGGTGTGTTTCCTGGTGTTCATCCAGGTGCAAGATATCTTTCAAGACGGGGCCACATGTGTCACAAGGGTGAGCCATCTGGGCTGATGAACCTGCCTTGGAGATACTATCCTGTGACACTTCTACAGAAATGCTCTGCTTAGAAGGCACCTCTTCATCCTCCACTGCACACCAACAACCTGAAGGCAGAAAAAATGCCATTGAAGTGCATGATGACTTTGGTGGGAAGGAGCAACCCCATTGCAGATGTGTCTAGTATACCCAGGATTTAGTGTATGGGGGTGTTGGCAGGACAGCAGATTTGGCATCAGGTTAAAGAAAAAGCTGCTTTGCAATACTGGGCCTCAAACGGTGATAGAATGAGGAAGACTTCCCAAGGGACAAAGACACAAGGACAGGGTGAGCTCAGAGAGAACTGGGAAGCAGAAATGTCCAATTTACTCTTCTGCAAATGATTTTTAGAAGGGCCTTGGCTACCAGTGAGCACTATACAAAATGTATGTCTAAGCCCAGGAAATCGGATCTAAAATGAGCAAGTGGTATTCAGGAGTCATTTAAGGACATATGTATGTCTCATGGCACATGAACACTGTCCAACACAGGAGAGCACTGCAGAAGGAGCAGTAGAGAGCACTGGTGAGAGGGTGTGGACAGCCCTGGGTCAGAGGTCAGACCAGAAATAACAAGTGTGATGGATCACACCTGTACCCCTGAAACAAATAATACATTATATGTTCATAATTTAGAAAAATAAAAATTAAAAAAAAAATGACAAGTGTGTAGAATGTCCAGAATGAGGAGAAAAAGACAGAAACAGGTACGGTTTATAATCTAGGCACCAAATAGGAGTGGGGCAAGGACAGGCTTCTGGTATTATTTGAACCCAACCCTGAAGTTACACCCTCCCCAAGCTCCCACTCACCAGGGCCTGTCCACGTCCCTCCTGCCATGGCTAGAGTCATGACCTCTCAGGCACTGAGTTCTTTCCCCTACTAAGTTCAGGAACCACAAAGGATCTGGAAGAAACAAATCATAGAGGAAAGACAGGGCAAGGAGGAAAGCTGTGGCCCAGAGCAGCTCACCACAGGATATTAAGACAACTAAATATTACAAAATGAACATCAGAAATGTTTTTGCAAGATCAGCACACTGGGCCTCACAGCAGTGACCATCACAGCAATTCATGACACAGATAAGCCCAAGGAAATGCCAATTACAGGAAAGGGGCAGAGTCTAGAGTACAGAGGTGTCATGAATGTAGGCAGAGCAATACAGCCAGGGAAAGGGCAGCAGGGTAGTCCACCGGGCTGACTACTAATCCCTGACGCTCAAACCCTTCCTGGTAATAGTCTGGGGCAGCAGGGGTGGGGGAGCATAGGGAGTAAAGGAGGCAATACACAGCTGAGCCTCAGCAGCCCGAAAATCTATCTTAGAGAAGGAAAACAGCAGTGCCTATGACAGCTATGGGAAGAAAAGGGCAACCTTTAAGGGAAGAGTAGAGTAGAGCAAAGGCCAGAAAACTGGGGTATGCGGGCCTTACCCAGGAAGACCGTAAGCACAAAGCATAGAAAACACTGCACTGTGACACAGGTCTTTGGGTCTTCTCACGCACCCCCACTGCTCCCAAGAGAAATACACAAACACATCCTTGAAAGTCACATGACCCTGCATAAAGCCAACGACTGAGCACAGGGGCAGCAGCTCTCCCCAGGACTCTTGGTCTACCCACCACACATTCACTTTCCTCCCCAGCTCCCCAACTTAGACCAGATACCAGGCCCTTGTGACTGGTGCCTACTCACTCTCCCCATTTCCTAGTAATCATTTTGTTCAGCCCAGAACAACAGGAGGGGGATGGACAGAACTTTTGCCAGCCAGTTCCCCTGAGGTCTAGGGATCATATCTCTCATATACAAATATGAGCTCAGAGATCCCCCTAAAGCCCTTAGGGTACAAATTCAGATTCCATCTCCAGTACACATCACTCTTTAGACCATAGCTCCCTCAAGTCTACGAATACCCACAACATAGGTCATCTCCCACATGCAAATCTGCAAACAGCATACAGAGAATTCCCGGTTAATGATCCAAGATCACATCTGGCTCCAGTAGCTGGTCCTCACTGCCATGTAACTCTGAACCCAGCTTTTTTTTTTTTTTCCTAAGATTTTATTTGTTTATTTGACAGAGAGAGAGACACACTGAGAGAGGGAACAGAAGCAGGGGGAATGGAAGAGGGAGAAGCAGGCTTCCTGCCAAGAGAGCCCACTGTGGGGCTCAATCCCAGGACCCTGGAATCATGACCTGAGCGGAAGGCAGACACTTAATGACGGAACGACCCAGGGGCCCCCTGAACCCAGCTTTTAAATCCTCCCTTCCTGGCCCTATTTCTTGATTCAACTTCAGCAATCCAGAACAACATACAGATACCAGATAATTCTAGCCCCTTCTGACTTTGTGGTCACATACTAAGGATACTATATTTTCAACAATCAACAGGCTTAACACTTAACACTAAACTCTCATTCAAAGCCCACACCCACTGTCCTTCTACCGCAAGCATAGTTACTCTGCCAGCTGGCCCACTCTGCCCCTGAGCTCAACTACCAGCTTGACTGAAACTTTCCACATCCCACGAAATCACTATAAATACCTGGGAAGCACATCGAGAAGGGAAAGCAGCTGCTCTGGCCTCACTTTCATCTCATCTCTAACACTGTTCTACTCCAGCACCCATCTCTTGTCCACGCTCTCTCTGGAAGACTTCACCACCTGCCAGATCCTACTCTCTCCCTCCACCATGGACACTAATCTCCCTTCTCCTCTCTCTTAGATGACTCCTGTCTCAGGCTGCTGTGTCCACTCCCTTCCAGACCCTTAATGGCACTGCCACTATGACATAAAGGTTCTCTCTATCAATCTGATAAGCAGCTCCACTCTAATGCATATACTGACTGTCACCCTGTGGACTTGAATCCCTCCTCTAAAATCCAAACCTATGTGTCCAGCTGTCTACCTATACCTCCATTCAGATTCAACATGGTCAAAGTTTAAATTTTTTTTTAAAGATTTTATTTATTTATTTGACAGAGAGAGATATCACAAGTAGGCAGAGAGGCAGGCAGAGAGAAAGAGGAGGAAGCAGGCTCCCCGCTGAGCAGAGAGCCTGATGTGGGGCTCAATTCCAGGACCCTGAGATCATGACCTGTGCTGAAGGCAGAGGCTTAACCCACTGAGCCACCCAGGCGCCCCAGTTTAAATTTTTTAAGACATTTTATTTATTTATTTATTTGACTGGGAAAGACACAGCCAGAGAGGGAACACAAGCAGAGGGAGTGGGAGAGGGAGAGAGAGAAGCAGGCTTCCCGCCAAGCAGAGACCCGATGCAGGACGCAATCCCAGGACCTTGGGATCATGACCTGAGCTGAAGGCAGACGCCTAACAACTGAGCTTCCCAGGCGCCCCACAAAGCCTAATTCTTGGTATTACTTCTGAAAGTTGCTCCCACCACCAAACTTTTCACCATCTCAATGGAGGATTTTCCCATCCTTATACCTGCTCAGGCCCAAAACTTTGAAAGCTGTGGAGTCATCCCTGACTCTTCCCATTGTTTCTCTCACCATCCACATCAGAAAATCTGGTTAACCCTACTTAAAGAAAAACAAAAACGAACAAAAAAAAAAGGACCAGAATCCAAGCATTTGTCCCACACTTCCATAGCATCCAGTCTAGTCCAGCCATCATAAACAGTGCTCCTTCCTCACTCCAAAGTCTCTTATTCACTGTACAGTCAGAGGAAGCCTGTTAAGACCAGAGTCAGATGACTCCCTCCTCTGCTCCAAACCTTCCATGGCTCCCACCATTCTCAAAACAGAAGCCCAGTTCCACAAGGTGCCATTCCAGAGTTGAATACTACTCTCTGATCAAGCTAGACATAATGGAGACCTGAGGCTCCCTGAACACTCTTGGTTAAGCCTCAAGTGATGTTTCTGCACATGCTGGTTCTTGTGTCTGGGGCACTGTTCCACACTTCACCCCACTGCACTCAATTCAAGGCAAAAGAACGTTAGTGACACCGGCATCCCCAAACTCAACATCAAGTGTAAGGGTAGGTAAAGAGTCCTAAGACACCACCATCTGCCATCTGGGGTTGCCAAGATCATGGCCAAGTGGGGAGTGATGAATAAGGACCTGCATGCTCTGCACTCACCTATACAGAGATCCCCAGTGCTTCTACCATCAGGGCAACCTGGCAAAGAGAAGGAGTTGAGAGTGGCAGGTTACCAGAGTGGGGTTCTGGGGACTGAACTATGGCCCTAACTCCTGCCCTGCCCTTTGGTGAGGATGATTTCGGAAAGTCTAATGTCAGATGTTAAGACCTTAGTGCTGCCTCCCATCAGATGGGCGTCCACGACCTGCTGCAGTGTGCTGCAGTGTCCTCCTCTGTAAAGCAGGTCTAACAGTGGCACCCACCTAACAGGGCTACTGCTTGTATCAAACACCGTTAGTACAAGCAAGGATCCTTGAATTAGCTTTTACTGTCCACAAGCTTCACATTTTTCCAAATGGTTTTGGAGCAAATGAAGGGATAGGTTTTTGATATTTAGGATTTATTTTTAATCTTCTAAGAAAACGTGGTATTTAAGACTTCCATCTTAATTAAACACTCAGAGACAAGCACATCAACCCATTACTAAGCATCGTCAGTACAAATTTATCATATCTATCCATCTAAAAATCTTAACGGCCTGTACACCTGCCAAGTGAGCATTAGTCCTGTCACCAAACCAGCCTACGTGGTACACACCCCCCAAGGTGAGCCTGCTGGTGGCCCCTCATGAGAGATGTCCATGATCTCTGCTCACCCGAGAGCTGGGGAACCGGGGTACCAGGGCCCTGGATCCGGCTGAGGCTGGCTTTTCGTCTCCTCCACAGGCCGTGCCGCTGCTGAGTCCACGGAACGGCAAACCGCCAGCACGTCACGCCTGCCTCTGCGGCTCAGGCCGGGCTCCTTACACCCCACGGCCCTCTCCTCCCGCGGAGACCAGCCAGAACTCCTTCCCATGCTTCCCTCTGGAGGGGATGAAGGATGACCCCCTTCCCCCGCCCTCCAATCTCTCGCCTCAAGAATCACCTGAGAGGGGCGCCTGGGTGGCTCAGTGGGTTAAGCCTCTGCCTTCGGCTCGGGTCGTGATCGCGGGGTGCTGGGATCGAGCCCCGCATCGGGCTCTCTGATCGGCGGGGAGCCTGCTTCCTCCTCTCTCTCTCTGCCTGCCTCTTCTCTGCCTACTTGTGATCTCTCTCTCTGTCCAATAAATAAAATAAAATCTTTAAAAAAAAAAAAAAAAGAATCACCTGAGATAAAAACACCGTTAATATCTTTCCTGGGCATCTCACCTCCAGTCTTCGACCTGGGGCCTCATCCCTCAGTGGTCTCCAACACAGCCCCCGCCAGAATCCCTGACGCACAGCCAGATGCCCATGGGCCACCTCCTCTCCGAGAGGAGCTTTACAACGTCCAAAATGCATTCCCCGGGACACAAACTGCTCCGGCCCTCCACTTGATCTTCCCGCACCGCCGTTACCCGACACGGCAAGAATCCCGTCGGTTTCACCTCTAACATCCCCTTCTCCAAATCCCACCTCCCGCCGCAGCTCTGGTGCAGCCACAACACTCCGGGAGTCGGCGGCCTCCTCGCCCGTCAACCAGTCCGCCGCGACCCACCTGCCCGAGCCAGCTCACATCATGCTCCCCCACGGCTCCCAGCGGTCCGCGGCGAGGGCACCCTCGGCTCATGCAGCCTTTCCACGCAGGGCCGCCGCTCGCCCTCTAGGCTCCCTGCAAACCCCAGGGCCCGGTTTCCGGAGTCCTCCGGCTCAGCCGCGCCTCCAAGCCTTTGCTCATGATCGTCGGTCGCCCAGGGACACTTCGACGGCTCACCGCACCGGCTGCTAGGAAGGGGCTCCCCACACCAACGCCCCCACGGCCCAGAACACCGGAGCCGGAGCTGCAACGACCTCAACAGGCGCCCCTCGTTCGTGGCTCCGTGATTCAGAGTGAAGGACCGAAACGCCTCAGGATCCGGGGAACAAAGTACCCACCTACGCGGGATCCATCACCGCGGCCGCCGCCATCACAATCTGGACCACAGGGACCCGTGAGGAGTCCCAGGTCGAGACCCACGCGCCGCCGTGGGCTGGCCCTGGCCGCGGAGCCTTCGCGTGCGCTGCCACCCCCAAGCCTTTCTGCAATGGACACAGGGTCTCCTCCCGTGCCTTTCCGCTTCGGTCACTCTGAACCGTACTGGCGTTCCCAAAGCTCCGCTCCGAGAGCTCCACTCAGAGCGAACAAAATGTCCGCCTCGAGGAAGACGCCGGAAGTCCCGCCCAGACGGCTTGCGGCGCAATTTTAAGGGTGCCGCCTCCGTGCTGCGCAGAGACTTCTGGGTACTGTAGTTTCCCTGAGGAATCGGCCTAAGCGACCTTCGGAGTTCTCCCCGCAGGGGCTGGGGCTGGGCAGCGTGCTCCCGCGAGGGACGCTGGGAAATGGTGCCTCCAGGCTCAAAGGACGCGGCGGGGCTTTGGCCCTCTTAAAGAGCCCCGCGCCCTGGTTCTATACCTTGTAGTCCGCTGGGGGTGGGTACCCGAAGAGTGTGGGAGCGTTCTTGTAGATATTCCCCAAAGCCACAAAACCACACGGACACATCATGTGCACAAAACCACACGGACACATCTTGAGTCCACTCACAGTCCACTCGTATTTCCTTGCTGGTTTTTAGATCCATGTAGGTTGAAGTTTTAAGTCGGTTTTGGGCTCTTTGGCTTGGTCACGGACCCGGGATCAGCGGACAGGGCCAGGGCGGATTCTGGGAAGGGTTAATCGGCCAACGAAGGCACTTTCCTGCCGGTGGGGGCGCTGATGGTGGCCAGCCAGGGTGCAGCATCCTGTAATTCAAACGCTCCTCAGCCTAAAGCTGAGATATACTGATTTCCCTCTAGGAATATGCCGCCCATCTGAAAAGGGCCATTATAAATGCTTTTTGATGTGCCAGGGCTGGTGGCAGTAAATGTGCAAAGGGGACCATCTGACCCACAAATAAAAATTTAGAGCATCATGATCTCATTTCTTTGCTAGGAAGTGATTTTCACTTCACTTGCAATTACGGGACAGTGTCTGAATTGGGATTTGAGATTATTCTTGGTAAACGGTGAAGAAGAAGAGGAGAGGAAGGGTCAAGGGAGGGGAAAGACGAGAAGGAAAGGAAGGAAGGAAGGAAGGAGGGAAAGAAGGAAAGCAAAGAAGGAAAGAAAAAGAAAGGGAGGAAGGCAAGGAAGGAAAGGAAGAAAGAAAACATTTATGAATTGTTTAAATTACTGAAAGCTGGTAATATAATTCTGTGATTATGCACAAACATACTCAAAAAATGGCTCCCAGGGGACACATCTGTGACAAGTGAAAACGGTTAAGATGTCAGCAAAAATTAAGTTGAAAACATCAAAGTCTGAGAAGCGAGAGAATGAGGCTGAGCATACATGGGATCTGAAACATTGAATACAGGAAGGTTTAGTCTCCAAAATGTAATTCCTTTCCATTCTTGAAAATGTTGAATATCTTGAAAATGTTGAACATCTACTTTGAAGGAGAATTCAAATATTTAGAAGTGCTACCAAAGGGCAACCCTCTAGAGTCCCCTCCCTCTTTGGGAGCTTTGTACTATCACTCAATGAACCTTGCTTTGCTGCCCACCAAAAACATAATAAACAAAACAAAAAAGTGTTGCCAGAATGATGAAGATGAACAAGAATATTGTAACAGCATGTCTGTTCACGGCTCTAACAAACATTCAATGAACACCTACTGAATTTTAGGCACTATCTTAAGGGCATGTTTCAAATTTGAAAACAAGAGATAAAGACCCCAGCCATCAAGGAGCTTACACTCTACGTATTCAAGAAAGACAGAGGAAGAAATACGAAATATATACTGAATTATGTACAATGTTAGAATGTGGTAGGCACAACAGAAAAGAGAAGATGAAGGCACCAAGAAATGGGGTATAACATGTAGCATTATACAGCCAAGGGAGGCTGATTTGAGCCCATGTCTTAGTTTATAAAGGTGACTTAGTGACAACATGGATAGGTCAATGCCACTGAAAGAAAAAGTTTAATGTTATTCACCATTTGCCTAGAAATGAGAGCCATAGCATACCACAAAAGGCCACAGAGGGAACACCAGGTTTTGATTAGGACACAATGCAGGAGCCAAGGGAAGGCCTAGCTGTGAGACTTTATTGTGTTTTCTACAGGAAAGGCAAAGCAGGGCAGAGCAAATAGCTGAAAACTGGCTAGTCTGAATAATTCCAGTGGGCTTTGGGTTATAAGGGTGGTCCCTAGTTGCCTGGTACCTAGCATTGGGATGATTTAGGGCAGGCAATTTTCTTCAGGAAACCTTTAAATGATTCAATATTCTAGGTAATGGAGCTCCCCATTTAAGGTAAGCCACTAAGTGCTGATATAAAACCTTGAGCCAATAAAAAATATTAACACACGTTAAACTCCCTAAAGAAAACATGCAGATTTTCAATTAGAGGACAATGGTCTAATGAAGAAAAAGAATAGCTCTCTCTATAAGACACAATGTTTCTCTTGAGTTTACTAAGAAGCCAGAAATTTTTCATTATGATTTATCATTCATAACAGACAGGTTGCTTAAATATATTGGATTAACATGATATTTAGATAATTAAGCATATGTTTTATTTTTATATACATTAAACTATTTTACATGGGATACTTGCAAAAATATAATAGGGGTGTCTGGGTGGCTTAGTCAGTTAAGCATCCAACTTTTGATTTCGACTCACGTCATGATCTCAGAGTCATGAGATCGAGCCCCATGTTGGGCTCTGTGCTGGGTGCTTAAAATTCTCTCTCTCTCTCCCTCTGCCTCTCCCATGCCCTCTCTCATATATATATATATATATATACATATATATATATATATATATATAAATTTTAATACAATTTTAGTTATAGACATAGTAGAAGTACAGAAATATACATTTAGCCACATATATTTTTTAAAGACCAAGTATTATATTTTTGAAGTTAGCATGGGGAGTGGCAGGCAGAGGGAGAAGGAGGCTCCCTGCTGACCAAGAAGTTGGATATGGGACTGGATCCCAGGACTCTGGGATCATGACCTGAGCTGAAGGCAGACGCTTAACCAACTGAGCCACCCAGACATCGCAAGTGATTATTTAAAGATGGAAAATAAAGGTGAAATAAAAATGGAACTCTTTGAAAGTTTCCTTTAAGTACCAACAACTAAAAAAATTTTCTAAAACTCAGTATTACTTCATAAAGAATGATAACTTTCATGATCTATTAAAGAAAACCAGAGTTGAACAGTAGGTAAAGGAGCAAAACTAGCTTTTAATCAGGAACTGTTGTAATAGTGGAATAGAGATCCCAGTACAGACCTTGGCTCAACTCCAAATAGAGCATGAACAACTAGGGGTTCATAGCCAAGAGGCAGTGTGGGAGTCAGTGGATGGAAAAGTACTGAGAAAAAACTTCAGGGGTCAGGGGGATTCTTGCTGAAAGCAGGCAAAGGTGATCAGTACCATCTGGGGGATGGTAGGATGAGCAATTTGATCAGATATCAAGGGTTATCAGCTATTAAGCAGGGATGGTTTCTGGTTAAAGCAACTTAATAGGATTCTTGTTAAAACTGGGCAATGCAGGGGCGCCTGGGTGGCTCAGTGGGTTAAGCCTCTGCCTTCGGCTCAGGTCATGGTCTCAGGGTCCTGGGATCGAGTCCCGCATCGGGCTCTCTGCTCAGCGGGGAGCCTGCTTCCTCCTCTGTCTCTCTCTCTGCCTGCCTCTCTGCCTACTTGTGATCTCTCTCTGTCAAATAAAAAAAAAAAAACAAAAAAAAAAACTGGGCAATGCAAAGATGGGCGCAGAAGTCCAAATGTTGAGGTCTAGTTGTGAATAGGATTCCTGATAGGAACCTGGCTAAAGTTTGGTCAAGGAGAGACTCTTTCTTAGCTTTGACCCTTAAATATTGCTAAATTGGAAGTGCATTATTTTACCACCTATTTTTTAAATGAAAAAATATTGTAAAGTAAGGTCAAAGAAGGCTAAATTATAATGTGTACTAAATTTTATTTTAATTAAATTATTTTTTATTTTTTATCACAGTTTTGATTATTTCACTGGACAAAAATTCTCAGCGACCCATGATCTTTCCTATGAAAGGTTTTGATCATTGACATGACCTCCAACACCTGTCAGAAGATATCACCTATTTGTCTGCCTCGCCACATTGTACGCCACATACTCTGCTAAACATCATGAACTTCTTTTCACTCTTTTTTTTTTTTTTTTTTGACAGAGGGAGACAGAGTGAGAGAGGAAACACAACCAGGGGGAGTGGGAGAAGGAGAAGCAGGCTCCCCGCTGAGCAGGGAGCCTGATGCAGGACTCAGTCCCAGGATCCTGGGATCATGACCTGAGCCGAAAGCAGACGCTTAACAACTGAGCCTCCCAGGCACCCTTCTTTTCACTCTTTGAAGTCCACCTGTGTTGTACCAATTTAGGATATTCCCCAGTCATTTTCTGTTCCCTTGAAACATTTTTCACCCAATATGCTTTAACAATGCAGTAAATCTTTTGGATGTCACTTCAGAGTTGAATCAACAGTGAGTTTCCACTCCCGAACTCCCGAAAGCTGAAAATCTCCCCCAGGTCATTATCTTATTGCCTGATATTCTCCAATGAACAGCAGATGCAATTTTAGAAAGTCATTGTCATATTCACACCATGTTCATTTTGGACAATCATATACACAATATGAGGCCAAGGTTATTTTTGCTTATTCCATACTGATCCCTATGGGATAATAGATCATCTGGCAGAAAACATGAGTGTTTTATGTGTAAATACACACACACAAAATGATCAAATAAATACTTAACTAAATTATAGGATGCCCTATAAGGAACTTGCCGTCTGGAGACCATACTTGGAAAAATCACTTCCTTCCCCAGAAAGCAGAAAATTGGGAGGCGCGGGCGTCACGCGCAAGGAGCACGAGGGGCTGAATGCCAGGAAGCCAGAAGATGCCAGTGCACAGGTATTCGTCAACCAGTGGCTTGGGTTCACAGTAAGTGCTATGCATGAAGACAAAATGGAAGAGAGGAAATAAAAGATGAACATGCTCACCAGGACCAGGATGGTCCGTGTGGCTCTAGCCTCGTGGGAAGGTCTAGAGAAAGGGTTGTTGCTGTGAATGTATTGGACTCGCTGCTTGTGTCTGAGCAGGACAAGGACGATGGAGCCAGGAGACCAGGCCACGAGGCCCAAACAAGTGACATAATGAAGGAGAACATGACCGCATGGAGTAAGACTACAGATTTGATCGGAATGGGTGAATTACAGTATTCATATGTTTTCTCCATACTTATGTTTTTTCTCTTTCTTGGTTCAGTAACATGCAAAGCAGTAAAGATATTTAACAGGAGATGCAGGATCCAGCAGAGGAAACAGCAAAAGCCAGTGCACTTTGGGGATTGCACCCTGAGCTGACCACATGGAGGTGTTAGCATTGAGCTTACTGGCCTGGAAGCCGCCGTGGAGGCAGGTGGTGCCGAGAGAAACCCTTCTGGCCACTCGGTGAGAACAGAAGACCAGCCCATG